TGCTCTCTCTCTCTCAAAAATAAATAAGAAAATTTAAAAAAAATTAAAAAAAAAACCACACCCATCCATGTGGAAAAAAAATTAAGCTTCATCTCTACTTTACACCATATACAAAAAGTAATTCGAGGTGGATCAAAGATCTAAATGTAAAAGCTAAAACCATGTTTTCAAAGGAAAACATGGAATATCTTCATGAGTGGGGAGTAGGCAAAGAATTGTTAACTTATAGAAAGCAATAGAACTATAAAAAAAATTTGACAGATTTCATAAAAATTAAAAATGTCAGTTCATCAGAAGACACCATTAAGAAAATGAATAAACAAGTCACAGACTAGGAGAAAAAATTTTTTTAAAAAGTCATTTTTTGTAATGTGTATTCATTCTTGAGAGACAGTGAGCAGGGGAGGGGAAGAGGGAGAAGGGGACAGAGGATCGATCTGTAGTGGGCTCTGTGCTGACAGCAGCGAGCTGGATACGGGGCTCAAACTCAGGAACCGTGAGATCATGACCTGAGCTGACGTTGGATGCTCAACTGACTGAGCCACCCAGGAGCCCCCAAAAATAATTTTTAACCAAGGACCGTAATCCAGAATATATTAAAAAAAATTCCACAACTCTATAAAAAAAGATAAACAACCTGATTCTTTTTAAAAAGGCAAAATATTTGAAAAGAAACTTTACAAAAGAAAATAGATGAATGGCTAGTAGCACATGACAACCTGCTCACCAGCATTAGTCATCAAAGAAACGCTAATTTAAACCATAATGGGACACTATACTAGGCACCCATCAAAATGGCTACAATTAAGTTGGCAAACAACAAATGGTGACAAGGATGTGAAGCAACTAAAATGACCTTACATCACAGGTGGGAATGGAAAGTCTGTCAATTTCTTCTAAAACTAAATCTATAACTACCCTTTGACCCAAAGAAATGAAAACATATTTACAAAGACATTTGTACAAGAATGTACATCACAACTTAATTCATAATAGCCCCAAACTTGAAACAGCCCAAGTGTCCATCAATAGGAAAATGGAACCATACAATCCAGTAATCCCATTACTGGATATTTTCAAAAGATACATGAACACTTATATTTAGTGAAGCATTATTTACAATAGCCAAATTATGGAAGTAACCCAAGTATCCATCTATAGATGAATGGATAAAGGAGATATGGTATATACATAAAATGGGATATTAGTCATAAAAAATAAA